AACAGCTAAGATACTGCGCAGGACCCTCAAGCTCCCAGGCCTCTGGTAGAGGACCCGAGCTTGAAGGATAAACCGCCCGCAGGGGCGTGCTGGGTGTTTTTTTTTATTTTATTAAAACGGTATTTGGTGACACACAAACAGGGTTTTTCAAAGCTCAGTTCTGTTAGCTTCCACATGCCGGTTGTTGTGTGCTAGAAACAATGGCCACCAGGCCAAAGCAATGGTTTTGACTCGATCAGCGTTAACCCCGCCCCCTGAGTTTGATGGGTGAGGCTGACAGACAAAATTATTTCATGATGAGAGCCAGGCGCCAGGACTGCCAAAATGAAATAAATAAATATATCATTAAATAATTAATTACATGTGTCATAACTATTTCTTTAATTAATTAATTCCAATTTTAATTAATTAAAAAATCACCTGACTGTTCTCCTATTTTGTCTGTCATTGACCATTAGAGTCATCATCACTTTACTCATCACTTAAGAGTCATCCTAGTTAGTTCAGGGTGAAAGTGATCGACCGCAGGGGCTCATCCACTAAAGAGTTAACCACAACAACCCAAGAGTTGTTTTCACCTCAGTGAAACCTCGTACCCTCTACAGACGATGTGTCAGTTCGGTTAAGGAGGTTTTAAAGGATTCCTTCCACTGCCCTCAGTTCAATTCAGCAGCACCTGGACTATATACCATGTGGGGGGAGAGCACAGCTTTACCCTCCTGAATTGCCTGAAGTTTTGTTCAAAATGCTTCAAGGCAGACCAAAAGTCTTTGTCCATGGCCTCACTGAACTCCTCCCAAACCCAAGTTTTGCTTTAGCCATTGCCCGAGCTGCGGTTCGCTTGGCCTGCTGGTGCCCATGAGCTGTCTCCGAAGTCCTTTCACTTCACACTTGATGGCTCCTTTCACTTGCGGTCTCCACCATCTGGTTCGGGGATAACCACCAGGCTCCAACCACCTCTGCAGCTCCTTGCAGCAGCCTCAGCAATGGAGGGTTAGAAAACTGGTCCTTTCGGACTCAGTGTCCCCAGCCTCCCTCGGAATGCTGTTGAAGTCCTGGGAGTTAAAGAATTTTATGGGCATTTCCAGCATACCCTCACTATAGCTATAACCCTAACCCAAATCTGTTTTGGAAAGTAGGTAGTCCTTCCACTCTAGAAAAAGAACTCATTAAATGAAATGAAAAAAAAAAAAAATCCCAAATTACCATTTATGTCCTATACCTTTTTTTAGTTCTCAGCATAAGAGCAGTGTGGCTGGGGGTGGGGTGCTTTGGATAACTGTTTTTGTCATGTAATTGGATTGCACTTTGTCAGGCCTCTAACCTAAAATCCTGACCATCTGCATGTCCCACCTGAAGGCTAAGCTTCTGCTGGTGTAGCTTTCAGGGTCACTGAGGCTTGCAAACGCCCGATCATGTTAAGGCGGCAATCCCTCTGGGGGAAAACTGAAAAATAAAACAACAAAAACTAAAACAAAAATATTCTTCATCAGATTATCACAACTAAAAACATTTACTTTAAGTGGATGGCCTCTATCGAATATATTCAAACCCAATATTAACAAAACTAAAAAGGGCCAAGTTATAAAAATAAAGTCAATTCACCAAGTCTTGAAAAATAAAACAGAAAAATTAAATAAAACTATCATCCAGACCTTTACAACCAACAATATAAAATTTATCTTGGGTGGCCTAATTCTCAAATAAATGTGCAAAATAAAGTAAGAATAAAATAGGATTAAATAAAATTTCGAATCACCATGTCTCTTCCATATCCAAGTTATATGTCATGGACTTGTCATGGGTCAAGATCACCCAATTCCTCTTCCTTGTATGTAACATGGTGTGACGACAGGGGTTTAGGACCTTAACTTCCCTTTGTGAGCTGCTGGAAGTGTGTGTGTGATTACTGTGATTACTTTAGTATATGAAATGAGGGAACTGTTGATTGCAGAGCTGAAAGCTGGGCGGCTTTGTGTCGGGTCTGTGCAGCAGACAGGCTCACAGAGAGAAACACTTCTGTACTGAAACAATAGTCACACACTGTACAAACATAGATGTATTTTTTAGTTAATTATCTCACGAGACGACAGAGATTTGCTGCTTCATTTTGCTCTAGCCTGCCTACTGAGAAACCTGACACAGGCTCATTTGCATACTGACAGTGATTGGATGCTTAGCTGGGGGGAGGGATCTCTGGTGAGTGCTGTGTGAGCCTGCACACAGAGTACGGAGGAAAAGAGCGAATGAGAGCTACTGTAGTAAATGTACTAAATCTTGTCCATATTCAGTTTGTGGGAAATCTATTATTGTCCTTCGACGTCTAAAAGTTTGACTTAACGGGGCAGGATGTTTGTTTAAGGGGCCGCTGCCCCCTCTTGCCCCAGCGTAGAGCCGGCCCTAATCACAAAGTATGCACGTACACATCTGTACGTACCCCACCTCCTCCTTAACGGCTGGGCCAATCTGAACGAAGATTTGCACAAACATCATCACACATATGGGGTTTATTTCAGGATGATTTATTATAAATCCCAGTTTGCTTGATTTTCCTACATAGTGTTTATTTTTGTTGGACCACCGTGAACGTTACGTTTTCCGTTTGCATTAGTATCAGTGTACGTTTACCGTACAGAACCTAATGGTCACATGAATTTGTATCCAGTGTTGTTTTGAAACACAGAAAGAAAGATTTGAAGTCAGTCCATCAGAAAAGGAAGTAAATATTGAAACCTCGTTGACAAAAGGAAGTTAGTTTAAAAGGTAGTTTTGACACAAATCAAGTTTTAATGTTATACTCGAAGTCTGGAACAAAGTGGGACAAAAAGGTTCAGAACTCACCAAAAAACAGAAACAAAAGGTTTTCAACAGCTAAATGTTTCCAAGACTCACACACGTTTCAGTTAGTGTTTGAATACAAATTTAGCACACAGTGACAACTCACACTATGACCTACACTGGGACCAATACAGTACATGTACCATACTGGTATATACATCTGTATATACAGATGTATATACATATTTACATATACGCTGAAGCCATGTTTTAAAAGGTTTATAAGATGATCCCACACAAGATCCCTTACACCACTGGCTGAAATGCAGCTCCAAATCACCACAGAGCCTCCACCATGTTTTACATACGGCTTTTGTTACCCTCTCCTGTATGCATGTATGACTTTTGACCCAAGGTTTGGAGTCTCACCCCAAATGCCCTGCTGCTGCTCATTTTCAGTCTAGTTCTTGGGTAATTTAGCATCCTTGAAGTGTTCCTTTCTAAGAATGGCTGTTTGACAGTCACCCTATTACTGCCACACTTTCTTGTGTAGTTTCAGGTTATTTAAGGACACACTGCACACTATGCTACTTTTTTAGCTAATAGCTCCTTGTTGGTGCAAAATACTCTTTTATGCCTGTCAAACTCTGCTGTCATTGGCATGTTCCACAGATTCAAGTAAAGAAGCTAACGGCGTAGAGATCCAGTTTAATGTGATTCTTTGCCAACTGCTGACATGAAACTGAAACCTTTGCTAGATTTGCAAAGGCGCTGCCTCTCAGCTGTGTGAGTTCTCATTTTGACTAAAAGTTTTTGCAAATGTTTTGCAAAAACTCTCACTTGTGTGAGACCCCATGTGGACAGTCAAATGACTATTTTGACTGAAAGTCTTACCACAAGTTTTGCAAGAATATGGCCTCTCACCTGTGTGAGTTCTCATGTGGACATTCAAATGACTGTTCTGACTGAAGCTCTTACCACAGGTTACACAGGAGTAGGGCTTCTCACCCGTGTGAGTCCTTATGTGCACGGTCAAATCCCTCATTTGAATGAAACTTTTCCCACATGTTTTACAGGAATACGGCTTCTCGCCTGTGTGGATTCTTGTGTGGAATTTCAGATTTGTACTCTGACTAAAAGTTTTGCCACATGTCGCACAAGAATATGGCTTCTCACCCGTATGAGTCCTTGCATGAATTTTCAAGTTTGCTAAGCAAGCAAATCTTTTTCCACAAATCTTGCAGTGGTAAGGTTTTATACCTGTGTGCGTCACCATGTGCACCGTTAAATTGCCTTTATGATAAAATCTTTTCCCACATGTTTCACACGAGTATCGCTTTTCACCTGTGTGAAATCTAATGTGATATATCAGATTTGAGCTGTCTCTAAACGCTTTCCCACAAATGCTGCAGGAATACGGCTTCTCACCGGTGTGAGTTCTTATATGGACCAACAAGTTATCCTTTCTCCTGAATGTTTTCCCACATGCGTCACACGAGAATGGCTTCTCACCTGTGTGAATGCTCGTGTGTATTTTTAGCTTTGATGCATATTTAAATCTTTTCCCACAAGTGTTGCAAGAATATGGTTTCTCATCTGTGGACGTTCTTTTTTGATGTAGAGAGTTGTGAGAGAGGAGCAGGTGACTGCTTGGTTTCGGCTGGCAGTAGTTTTTTCCCTCATAAATTACTGTTAATGGACTGGTTTCCTGGTCAATTACAAGCTCCTGTCTCTCCTGACTTGTGCAAAGTTCCGTCCATTCTTCCTTAATCTTAGCCGATCCAACGTCCTGTTGATCCAGACCAGAGTTCTCCAGGTTAAAGAGGTACAAGTCCTCGAGAACCTCCTCCTTGCAGACATATTGCTGGAGCTGGTCTGGAGAGACAAAGTGGCACATAAAACAGTCAGTGCTGTATTCATATACAAATGAAGATCTAAGCAAATTTTGTGACGGCCAACGGATTGTTAACACCAGTGGGTTCAGGTTTCACTTCAGCTGAAGCTGTTTGGTGTGCAGCATGTTGTAGGTCCAGGTTAGGGTAGATGTTTTAGTTCGAACTTCAGCGCTCTAATGTGCAGCTGTCATTTTAAAAATAAACAGCAGGATTAACACAATCAACTTAAGTTGAAATATTTATTTTACTGCTTCACGCTCAAAATCCCAAGATGAAAGAGTCCCTGCAGAATGAATTTTCTCTTATTTGCAACACATTTTTTATATTCTGTACAGATCTTTAATCAACATTTTATTATTTTCATCTGATAAAGTTTCTGATTGGAGTAATCTGTTTATGAAACACCTCATTTTATGTGAGCGCACACGAAGCCTGAAGCAGAAAGCTAGGCCGGACAAAGAAAGTTTAACTATTATCAGCTGCTCACATGTAAACAAATGAATTCTGGCTAACGGTAGTCCATTTTATATTCTTCACACTGGCTCCCAATAGATGATGAAATTCTTGTTTTAACATACAGCGCACTAAATGGCCCCAGCTTCTTATAAAATACTCTGCTACTTGTTGTCTTCGCTCACAGGCTCAGAGTTTGTTGGTTTCTCCCCGAACACGACTGAAGACGAAAGGGGGCGGAGCCTTTCAGTCGTACCGCCACAGTTACGTTTGGTTGACTCTGTGGAATCCTTTAAAAAGCAGTTAAAACGTTATTATTTAAACAGGCCTTCTGTTAATCAACACTTCTGAATTGTTTTGAATTTGCATTGTTTATATTGTCTATTTTGTTACTTAATGTTTTCTTTATTGTTACCTTTGTTTTCAGCGCTTCGTGACTGCCTGTCTATGAAAAGCGCTTAATAAATAAACCTCACTTACAAAGAGACACAAAGAGTGAACAGTGGACAGAAATTTGAACATGAACCTACAACAAACCACAAGATGGGTTTTCAAGATGGCTGCCAGTGTTTTCCAACTAGCTTTTCTCTGCGTGTGAAGGGGCTCAAATGTCCTTCCTGAATCAACACATTTTTGTTGAACCATCCACTTAAAATTTGAATATTGCTGAGAGTACGGTGATGTTATAATTCTACTTTTGACCATTTGGGAAGCGTATGGTGACGTGGTGGCTACAGAGAAATGTTCCTCTAACCCCGACTTAATATTGTAGATATTTTGTTTTCTCTGACTGAAAAACAAAACGAAACATGTCTAAGAAACCAAGACGTGAGCTTCTTAGTTGTGGTCAGCACAGTGTAAACCAGCAGGTTAACCTCGTGAGCCTAACGGAGGAGGCCACAGTCAAAGGGATCAGTAGACTGAACTGAACAAAGGATTGATGAACAATATTCCCGTTCAATAATCCTGATGATCTTATTCTCACTGGGTTGGACACACTGCAGCTATGCCAGGGCTACAGCTGGTGATGAGGACGCAGCATTTAGAGAGAAACACGACAGGAAGTCGTCCAATTCTTGAACAGCAAGAACATTTGTTTAGAAAAGCACCAGATGTCTAATTGCTACACTCTGACTGATTTTCATCTAGGCACCAAAGACACTTAATACTTGATATTTTAAAAGTTGAGCTTAAACATGGTTATAATCCTGCTGCTGCTTGTCGGGGCCGGGCCTTGGGAGCGATCGTTATATGTACAGATTTCTTACCTGTGTCCATGTTACAGTGACTCCCTGACATGGGAGAGATGTCCACATTGTAATTTTTGGTTCTGTGACATTTCTTCTTTGGCTTCAGCTCCTCATTGGTGGTTGATCCCATTTCTACATGTTTAGTTCCTTGCTGGTCTCTGGTGTCCACTACAGGAGAAGTTTGAGAGAGGAACTGGTTAACGTTTGGGTCGGGTTCATCAACCACTCCTATTTAGTTAAAGTCACCATAAAGGTGCTGGTCTCTGTTAATACAAGCAGCTTACTGGAACAGTCTTCCTCTTGCTCCTCTTTTATCAGGAGAGGTTCTGCTTCCTCCTGGACCAATCTGGAGTTCCTTTCCTGGTTACAGTGCTGCTGCTGCTCTATAAGAGCCTCATCTTTATTATTAATGACAAGTTGTTGTGGGAGGTCTATCGAGACAAAGGGACAAAACAAGGTTACATGTGTGATGACAGAAAAACACTCATACTTAGTACTGAAACACTGATCTATACTGATAAGGAGTATAGAGTGTTAGAACCAAGAGGATCCACATCGTGTGATAGAAATGAAAATGATCAGCCTAGGGTTGGGCAATTGGACAATATATCGACGATAGTGTTTACAAGGGCGATTTATTTATTTATTTTCCCATGACTAGGTTTGCTAATCATGATGGAGCTCATAGAAGTCAACAGAAAAAAAATAATAGCGCTGTTTTAACAGCACCCTCTTTGATCTGCGAGCAAATGCCCCTCCTCAGAGAGCTGCAGAAGCTGGTGATAGCCTAGCATACTCAGCCGGATGGTGGACATGTACATGCTCATGTCAGTTAGTCGTGTTTGAGAGCTTTGCTCGCACTATACGTCTGCACAAGCGGCACACCACTTTGGTTACATCCTTAGGTTTGCCTCTTTTATTTGGTTTAAAGCCAAAGAAATCCCAAATTGGGGACTTTATATTTTTTTAGTGCTGTCAGCGTTAATGTGCCGTCATCACAACTAACGCATTTAACAATGAACCCATATGGAGCGCAGACTGAGTCTATATCCCTGAAATATCTCTGTCAATGCATTTCGGGCAGTTTGTCCAAATTCTGTTAATTCTGGGGGTTGAGAGCGCTACAAATTTAAATCGTGAGGATGATTGATGATTAAGAAATCATCAATCATCACCTTATCCCAAGATAAAACAAAGGACTAACTTAACCATGCTGTGTTTTAGTTGAATGTGTTCTCATCCTGTATAGAGCAACAAATAACAAGACTGACAGTGAATGGAGAAACACTCACCCAGTTTCTGTTCTGTTTTTGTCATGCTTATATCATACAACCTGAACATATCAGCAGGATGTCCCGTTTCCCCTTTCTCTTTGTTTAAAACATATAAAACAAGTCCATGCAATTCGAACTCAAAATTGTGTTTTCACCTCGCAGGTTAACTGATACTTGATAAATGTTTGCTGGTATTTTTGGTCAACTGCCATTTTTGACTTCCCTCTGCAAGCGTCCAGCTGCAAGGAGAGAGATGAAGGACTACGATTCATCAAGCAATGTGATCATAAATAATCCTCGACACTAATTTTTTTATGCCTGCGTTTAGATTGCATATAGATTTTGACCATACTTGAGATTATTTGTATTTTTTTGCATTTAAGAAAATTATGCTAATGATATTCAGTTGTACGTTTCTTTTATGCCCGGGGATTTATCTAAGCTTCAGCGTCTGAATGATTGCTTAGATTTGATCAAACGTTGGATGGCTGCAAATTTCCTCCAACTCAACGAGGGGAAAACCGAAGTCCTCGTATGCGCCCCTGATAGGTTTCTATCGCAGATAGTGAAAGCCCTCGGTCCTCTCTCACTTTGTGTTAAATCCTCTATCAGGAATTTAGGTGTCACCTTTGACACCTTGGCATGTGAAATCTCTGGCTCGGTCTTGTTTTTATCGTTTAAGAAATGTGGCTAAGCTAAGCCCGGTTCTATCTCGCTCTGAACTCGAGATCGCTATAGATGCATTTATTTCGTCACGCTTGGATTATTGTAATTCGCTGTTTATGTGTCTAAGCAAAGGTTCACTGGATCGGCTGCAGGTTGTGCAAAACGCTGCAGCGCGGCTTTTGACAAAATCCTGCAAGTCCTCACATGTGACACCGTTATTATCTCAGTTACACTGGCTTCCTGTTACATTTAGAGTCGATTTTAAGATCGTGGTCTTGACCTACAGAGCTGTGCACGGACTGGCACCAGCCTACATCTTTGATCTGCTACAGCCCGATGTCCCTAGCAGGTCTTTGAGGTCGTCTGATCAGGGCTTACTTGCTATAAAAAAATACTAAGAGGAGGACTCAGGGTGACAGAGCTTTTGCCACTGTGGCCCCGAGACTGTGGAACTCTCCCCCCTAACATTAAGAACTGTGGACTCAGTAGCAAGACTTGCAATCTTATGTGCAGCACTTTGTGATTCTGTCTTGAAAGGTGCTATATAAATAAAAATTTATTTATTTAAAATGTTTTCTTTCAAGAATTGTTTTTATTAAATATGGCACGTACAAATAGATGTTGTATGTAGTTTAAAACATTGCAATTTCTAAAGTGGAACCAATGAGGAGTTTATTCTATTCATTTTGGTTTCTCTTTTGAATATTTATAACTGCTCATTAATAAGACAAAAGTATTTCTTATCAGATTACTCAATTAATTGATGGTATAATCATTAGAAAATAATTAATAGCTGCAGGCTTAATAATGTAGGAAGTTAACATTACCGTTGTGACTCAGCCCATGGCTGTGGTGAATCATCACAGGACACTGAAACATCTCAACTTCTCCAATAAAAGTCACAAAATAAAGATTTTCTCTATTTCTATCGAGCATGCTGGTCACCAAGGGTGTAACAGGTACTGTCACGGTTGCTAGGCAACAGGAGGCGCGCGTCTTAGGTTAGACCTACAGAAGCCGCTAACTTCCGGTCTTCCCGTCTTTCGTGCACGGGCAGGCCGGGTCCTTTAAAGGATGCAGCCCCTGAATTCGGACACACCCCAAACCTCACTAACGCTTACCTAAGAATCACATCACAGACACAGACGTGAGCATGCTCGGTAGCGCCGTCCATCAGCTCACCAGTACTCAAACACATAGCAGTACCACTCTGGGTTCATTAACACCATCGGAGCGTTACCTACCGATTCTGTGTAACTTTATTTTGGGGAACTTCACAGTGATATCCTGCAGTCTGCGCTGACTGATCTCGGCCTCATTCTGGACCATCGTTTTAACAAAGACGCCGAATATCTCTTCAGCAGCAGCCGTTAGTCTCTCGCTAACAAACTCTCGCAAATACTCAACGGAACACATCGTTACTTTGACAGCTCAAATATTTCTCTGTTATACGCGAATGCAACCGTTTTCCAGCTTCAACAAGCGGCTAACTTAGACGTAGCGCCAGGACTGTTTCCTCTGTGTGTCACATTATAAAGTTCCGGCTATAAAAGCAGGTGAACTTTTTGTTCCGTTATATATATCAGTGTATGGATCTATTACAGGGGTCGGCAACCTTTCTGATGATGAGTGCATCTAAAATTCCCTCAGAAGTCAGTGTGCCATATGACTGCATTAGCAATAAATTTAATAACGCTCTATATTAACAGTTACTTACTATATAGAACCACTTTATAAAATTATGTTCACAGATGTTGGCAGCTGTCAGCGAATATTTATCAGCTGTTTGGAAACAAAAAAAGACACTTTTTATCCATAACAGCAAATGAACTGTACAACAGAAAATCCAAATGCTATTTATGGTCTCTGTTACGATATTGCTTCAGGGAGCAGACATGACACCGTCTTAGGTTTTAGCCATCACTTTTTTATTATCTCCACACCACCCTCCGGTGGCTTCCACATGAACTGCACCTTAAACAACAACTGTTCACTCATATCATGACAGTCTCCTCACAACAATGATAAGAAAAATAAACTGGGCCAATATGGCATGTTTGTTAATACAGAGACACACATGTTACTGTGATCTCTGGTCTCCCACTCAGACACACAGGTCTCCCAGTGTCCAGCATTCAGAGGCTACCTGAGGACTCGTGTGAGAGAAAATCTGCTCACACAGACATGTAGAGCCAAACACTGTCAATAAGGCCTCTGCAATGTTCTGAAGACAGTTAAACTTGTCAGGTAGTGATGTCCAGCAGGTGAACATGCAGCTCCATGAACACGCACAGCAGTGGATTCCAGCTGCGTCCGTAATTCTACAAACTTTGACCCCCACAGAGTCGAGCTTTTCAGTTCAATCAGCTGCATTTTGATGTCCTCTGTGTCCAACCAGTTAATGCGAGACAAATCCAGCTGCTCATTAAAGCTTTCTGGTTTGATCAGAAAAGAAAACATTGATCCAAACACCTGAAAGCCCCGAAAACCCATTGTGAATTCTGTCTCGAGTCTACGGATGTATCCGTGTATTTCCGTGGTGCTGATGCTGCGCTGAGCAGAAAGCTCCTGAAGCATTTGAAGTGTCGGAATGTGAAAATTTCAACATCGCTTGAAAGAACTACCAGCTAGCAACGTCCCTCTCACCGGTAGGCGAAGTTATTTTTTAGCCAATTACAAGTTGAATCTGGTAGTTGGGGTTGTTAGCTAAGATACTGTCATTAAGAAGCGGCACAACTAATGTGCGATGTGCACCGTCATT